TGAGCATTCGGTTTATTCGGTTAAAAACCAAATCAAATAAATCAAAATTTTAAAAACCAAACTGAATCCAAATTTTAGAAAAATTGAAATTTTTTGTTCGGTTTTTGGTTAAAACCCAATTTTAATAATATAATCTATATTATATTATATATTATATATTATAAAATATATATTATGAAATCAAATTTCATTATATTAATATATTAAAATATAAATATATAATATATTATATATTATATGTTGCATATTATATATTACATCTTACATATTATATAATAAAGTTCGATTTATTCGATTAACCGAATGTGTAATTCTAAAAGCTGAAAGCGTAACAAAACCGAAATTTTTTGTTCGGTTTTAACCAAATAATGCTCACCTCTAGGCTGAGATTAACAATTTCCTTACTAATTAAGTAATAAAAATAATTGCAGAAAAATTTAAGTTATAGAAAAGGGACATTAATAATTCAAGAACAAGAAGGTTAAGTGCTCTCTCTCTATCTCTCCCTAAAATATAGTATATATATTAGTAAGGGTTTGTGCAATGAAGAGGTTTTGTTCAACAAAATTGAGGCAAAAGAAGCCTTTTGACATTCTCAATTAGACCAAGATAGATTGAGTCCATTCCAAGAATTATTTTCGGGTTATGTATTGTTAGATATTTTTTTTTTATAAATCTTAAATGGAAATAAATGGATTTTAACTATTATTATTATTATTATTTATCAACTATTATTAAATAAACTTATTTAATTTTTTCTATTTTTATTAATTTGTTATTTTTATAATAATTTTCAATTAATACATATAATTCAAAAACTAATAATTTTTTTTAACTTTATCAATAAATTTGTATTAAGTTATTGTCTTAATTAGTTGATTAACTTATTAAATTATTAATTAAGCTAAGTTATCAATTATGTTAATTAATTAAGTTAATAAGTTAATATTAGTTTTTATTATTCTTTTATCATTTCTAGATGGAACTTAAATGGACTCTAATTTTTATTAATAATTTTATTTTATTAATTTTTGTTAGATAAAATTGTTTTAATTTTTACTAATTTTTATTAATTCTATTATTTTTAATTGGATTTATACTAATAAAGATTAATTTGAGAACCGATGATGCACATTTCGGCAACTCCCGCGGCTAGTAGGCGACTCGAATGCCTGGCTGAATAATCCCTACCTGGAATGTGGCATGGTTGCCTAGTTGAATGGTTCCTACCTGRAAGGTGGCTTGGATGCCTAGCTGAATGGTGAYGAGTTGGAGAGGTGGCTTTGATGCCTAGCTGAATGGTGACGAGCTTGAGAGGTGGCTCTGATGCCTAACTAAATGGTGACGAGCTGGAGAGGTGGCTCTAATGTCTAGCTGAGTGATGATGAGCTGGAGAGGTGGCTCTGATGCCTAATTAAATGGTGACGAGCTGGAGAGGTGGCTCTGATGTGACCTGCAAGGAAAAAATGTTAGAGTTCCCGGATTTCTTTACCCAGGATGGGCACTCCGATGCTTAAGTTAGCGAATCAGAGATTTTAAGATAGCTAAATGTAAGAGAGTTGTGAGAACTAAAAATTGCACCTCTCTCCTCTGGAGTGGGAGGTAAGGCCTTTATATAGGCATTGTTTGGCATGAGCACCACGCAACACGTCCAGGATCTCCAGGAGGACGTGCCTAACTGCTCCAAAGTCCACGAAGGTAGTTGTGCACGTAGGCCAATCTTTGCACCTTACTCGGTTTCTCCCAAAACATTCGGTGTGAGAGCTGACTTCCGAGAGACCCGGGAGTGATGGGATGCATGCAGAAATCGATGGCGAGCATGTCTCGTAGGTCGCCACTTGGACCTCAATCAGGTCGGCAAGCCCTCGAGGGAGGTCGCTCCCCAAGTTGAGGTCGCTTCAGCCGATATTGACGAGGTACCACAGGTTGGCCCTGGACGAGGTGCTACTAGCCGCCCTGAGTCGTGGACGAGGTCGCTGGCTAGGTTTCTGCCAGGTCGACAACAGTGGTAGGTCGCCAGGTCAGCGCTAGAGGCAGGTCGCCAGGTCAACACCAGAGGTAGGTCGCCAGGTCAGTGCCAGAGGTAGGTCGCCAGGTCGGCGGTAGTGCCAGGTCGCTAGCTGGGACTCTATCATTTTGGTTAAGGCAAGTTTTCGCCTAGGTGGTTCTGGGTGTCACCAGTTGTTCTGAGATGCCATGTGTCATGATGTTAGTGGAGGGCCAAATCTGCCCTCATCAAGAACCAATAATTTTTTGAAGTTTATTAATAAATTTACGTTACTTGATATTAAATTTTATTACAATATTTATTTAATTAGTTTATAAGTTATTATGTGAGGGAACTATTTGTTTCCTTTCTTTGAATAGGAAATCAAAGGCATTGGGGATCAAAATGGGGAGAGAGAGAGAGAGAGCTATTGATGTTGATATTTGATAATTAATTGGTAATATAGCACGATCCAATAGTACATTGGTTCAAATGCACGAGGACCCCACAAATGAAGATCTCCTCCGTAAAAATAAAGCTGATAATAGAATGCTTCTAGGATGAACGGCTTTGATCGCTAGGCTGGACTGATTTCCTGACAAGCAATGCACCCATAAAACACCAATCGAACAAGAGAGGGTCCCACAGTCCACTTGTATATCAAGTTGGTAAGCAGCCCTTGAGTGCTATGTACAAGCTGATGAGATATACATTAAACACTGTATCACATCACTGTATCAAACTTGAGTATTCAATACACCTCGTAGTTGTGGACTTGTGGGAGCAAAGTTGTTATGATTCAAATTTCAGAAACCACCCTTATATAAGTTGCAAAAATTACAAAAAAGGACCACTAAACTATTTATTTTCTTTTTGAAGTCCGCTGGTGTAAGGCCGCTAAGCTTCATCCTACGGTTGAGTATTGTGTATTGAATTGAGGTGTTTTATTTATTTTATAGAGTTCGAAAAGGTTAAAGGGTGTTTCTGTTTATGTTTAATTCTCTCTTATGGTGCTTCTCAGTCACGCTTGATTACTAAAAGAACTCAATCTTGTCTGTTAAAACTTTCCTCGATGTGGTGGGTGACCAATAAGAGCTATCCATGCGGGCCCACCTTAGCAAATATAAAGGAATTATAAAAAACAAAAAAAGAAAAGGAAGTTCTTCTCCGCGACTGTAGGGATAAGCCTGGACAAGTAGGCATGATGGTAGAACAAGTGAAGGGGTATGGTGGGGCCCAAGGTGTATTAGAGAAGCAGCATCAGTATTGTTTCGTTGCGGTCGAATTCAGCCACCCAAACGGTGCCACGTTGGATGTTAAACGGAGTTCCCCCTCCGTGGGGACGTGGCAAACGGAGATAATGATGTTCTTACATCCATAATGATTAAGGGCGGGGCCCGCCGAGGTTAAATCTCAACCATACAGTTTCTTTTGTTACCTCTCTCTTTCACGATATTTACTAATTCATTTGCATCCGGACAAGGATCTTTAAGCAACTATAGCTGCTACGATACGTTCTGCGTGTATCGGCTGGTTCTTGCTTAACGTTTCGGTTTTTAGTTTTAACGAAGGAGTGAACAGTGAATTTGCCACTTTCTACCCACGTGAGGAATATAAAGATGCAGGCACGGTGATTTTGAGCTCGTGGGATGTGGACGATGAGTGCCCTCATGACTATTGGATCACGTGTGAAACTTTTGCTTCACTTTACTACTTGATTGATTGAAGGGAAAATATATAAATTAAAAAAAAAAAAAAAACAAAGTGAATTCTTGTAAATTTTCTTTTCCCTTATTTATCCATGGCAACCGGCGACGAATCGGGCCGATATGGAGGAAGTGTTGGGGAGTTGGTTAATTTATCGGTACGGCACGTTCTAAGGATAAAGCTACGTGTCATTAGGGGAATGCATCAATCCATCTCCATCCTGGCAAAAAAAGCAGTTCTAGGTGGGCCGAGAGGTTGGGCCGGAAAGGTTGGGGCCCACTTGCACAACCGGCAAGCACCCAAATTGCGAGCTTAATAATGACCGGGACTAGCCCACGCCGGACCATGAGCCGCCACGTTCAGAACCGTGGACATCATTCCGTCGACGGGTCCCACATTCCACCATTGCATTCACCCAAGGTCCCAACTTCCAAGCTTTCTCCGTCTCTCGACTCTATCCCTCTAGGCCAGGCTTTCGGGCCTTTGGCTTCATCAGTTAGCCTGCCGGCTAGGCTGTCTTTAGCCTTTAGCTAGCCGGCTTGAAGGAAAGCTTTTGTTTCTATTTGGAGAGCTGTCTCTTTCATAATGCTTTAGGTCGGTTTGCGGGGCTCACATGGAAGAGAGAAAGATTAAATAAATATTGGAGGCGGGCCAACCAGAGCCACCCGTGCCATTTTCTGGTGAAAGCCAAAGCCAAGCTTATTAATATTTTATTACCTAAATTACCCTCATCTCACTGTATTTTTCATAATTAAAAAGGAACATGAAACCAGTACGGGACGGAACCAAAAAACGGTGAGCTTCAACGGGCCTCGTGGGTGGTAACAATCGAGTCGACTCAGCTTTCACCACCATAATTCCAGTCCAGCTATGATTTATCATGGTTCTATCATCATAACAGTGAGTTATTGTCTGAAGGGGATAACGTATCGGCCCTCCCACCCAAGAACTGATACGTTCAAAATTTTTAGTAATTACGTCGCAAAATGAAGGCTATTTGTGGAATTACGGTTCATGAATGATATTTTTCACCAGTGGGGTTGCAATTATTTTAATATAAAAAGAGTCCAGGGACAAGAGAGAGAGAAGGTGGTAGGGACAAACTCAGGGCCTACCAAAAGCCACCCCCGGCCCCCGTCCGGTCCTCCCCCGCCAGAGAGAGAGAGAGAGAGCGCTTTTGGCGAGAGGATGTGCAATTGCGTCACCACCAAAATCCTGTCGAACTATGATTATTATATATTCTTCTTCTTTTTTTCTTCATTTGTTTTCTCTGGGTCTGAAGGGTTTAACGAAGGAACGGTAAGTGGTCCTCGCCGTTACATCCTCTGACGTTCACCGTTTTCTCATTCGGTCGAAGCGCCCGTAACTCTCTCTCTCTCTCTCTCTCTGAAATCACATATATTGCACAAATATTACACAGTGACCAGCAAGCTCAGAGAAGAGAGATTGCTTCTGGTCTTTATCAGTAGCGGGTGGAGTGGAAGTGGCGGTTGGGATTTCCTATACGCAGGTTCTTTTCCCCCGGCCAATTTTCCGCCTTCCTTTCTTTCCGCCTGAGACTTTCCCAGCAATCTAGCTCTCAACTCAACTCGGAGACAAGGAGAGATAATGAGAGGAAGAAAAGTGTGTGTTTTTACATGATGGATAGTTGAGGGGTGTGTGCTCTCATTTGCCTGCTTCTCTGTTATTTAATGCTATCTCTTTCTCCTTTCTTCCATTCTTCAGTCGTTCCTTCTCTCCTACTTTCTTTCCACTTTTGTCCACCTCTTCCTCACAAACACCTGCATTTCTTCTCCTCGGGATCTGATCCATTCACACTTGCTCCGACAATCTTGACACTTTAACCAGAAGTACAAACTATTTTCTCATTCTGGAATCAGGGTTCAACTCCCGAGGAAAACTAGTGTTTCTTGTTTGACCTTTCTTTTAGAGCTGCCGGTTTTTCTGGCTTCTTGTTTTTGTGTAGTATTTGGAAGAAATTCAGAAAAAAGCCGCCGTGTGGAGTCTCTATCGTTTGCTGCTTGAAGAAACCAGGTTGAGTTGACCCAGATCTTGTACGCAGGGGCTTAAGTCAGCACCACAGAATCCTAGTCACGCCAAAACTTGTCGGGGAGGACCAACTCGTTGTTGTTCTTTTCATCTGTGAGCTCTCTTTTTTCTTCCTGTTTCTGTTTCTTTTCTCATCTGGGTTTTCTTGATGACTTCCTATTTGGACTCTTTCCTTTTTTTTTTAAATCTTTTTAACGTGAGAGAATGCTCAAGTTTATAGATCTTCAAATCTCTGATAGTTTCTGGTATTAAACTCAATCTGGGGTTTTGCTTATTGATCGTATATATGCTCTTTGTGATGCAGCTAGATTAGGCAACAATGACATGGTTATATTCTGGTTTTGGTAATCTCAATCTCACTTGCCACATCTAACTCTCTTTCCACCTTCTCATAATATGCATTATCTTCTTCTTCTCCTCTTCCATTCCTTGTTTTCTTTTTTCTCTAAACCCCAAGCTTTATTCCAGGTGGAGGGGATCCTCATGTTCCCTTTTTTTTTCCTCTTTTTCCTGTGTGTTTGTTTTCACTTCTAGGAAATTGATGTTATTATAGGTTGAAATATTTCATGTCCAAATTTTCGATATATGCCTCTTAGGATTGTAGTGCAATCTGATAAATAAAATAATAGTAAGAGATCAAAAAGAGGAAACACAATGGTTAATTTCAAAAACAATTTGTTGCAACTTTTTATTTTTCTTTCTTTTATGTTCATATTCGTTGAGAGTATTCATTATTACTTGATGCCTTTTCACCAATAAAACTTCATGGGTTCAAAGTTTTTCACATTATATATATATTGAGAATGGACAAAATGCAATAAGTGCCCTTGCAAATTGCACTATTATTCATCGTTGGATCTCATCTGAAAAAAAAAAAAGTTATATGGAAAACATACCAAAGAAAGTCAAATTTGAGAGCAGGAAACTAGGGTATTGTACATTTCCAATAGAAAAATTTTCATCTCTATTCCACTGTAAATGGAACTCCACCACATTTCAGCCAATGAAAGATTTTAAGTTTGAAATTGTGGRTTCGTGGGAAATTTTCACTTCAAGATTTGATGAACGAAACATTGCTTTGTTTTGCTGTATTTATGACTATCTAGTTTTTCGATTGAAATAGTAACTCAGTTAAACAGGTTCTAGGAACACTAGCTAGCAGTATTACTAAAAACTGTACAAGAATGAAACTAGTAATTAATTTGCGAAATGTACAATGGAGAAATCGCTCCTTTGCCTTTGTCAGCTGTGTAACCTAATTGATTTGATTTGATTTGATTTTTCAGTTCTTTGTAAACAGCACAAACAATATGGTTGTTATATGTAGCAATATGAAACATCCCTTGCAATTTCGTTCAAAATTAACATTTTATAAAAGAAGAGCCTGGGATCCTTTGAATGCTAACTGTTGAAAAAACATTTTCTTCTTCTCTTCTTCTCCATGAGAAGCTAGGAAATGAACTTCTATACATGCTTCTTAATCAACTCAATGCTTGTCTTGTAGGAGTTCTTACACTAGTTTGTAATCTAGAAAGTATTAAACCGAGCTTGTACAAGTTGGCATTATTCAAATCCTTGTTGAATCATGATTTATAAGTTTCTGTTTCTTAGCTAAATTTCATTTACTGATAAATTATTTCTTATTATCTCTATGATATGTGGCTTGGAAGCTTCGGTTACTATTGACTTTTAGCCGATTTTCATGGACTAGATACCTTCACTTTATGCTCCATGTATACTTGTTTTTGTGCTAATTTAGGTTTAATGTTTTTTTTTTGGGGGGGGGCTTCAACATATTTGGGTTTAATCAGTAATATAAACTCTTTCTAGGATTATATTCAACATTGCAATATCTGAGTTAAATCACAGGGGGAAGAAGCACTCTATTAGCACAGAATTCAATTTCACTCCTTCGATGAGAGTCCTTCCAATTAGCACCTCAGCAGCAGAAACGTAAGCAGGCTAAACGTCAACCTAAAAAGAGAGGACTATTTAGGCCTTAAAACAATCCTGATTATGTGGCCATCTCTCTGGGGTGCTTTGTAGGACACATGGATTCTTAATGGAGGGAGTGAAAATGAAATCATTAGCATGAGAGACCTCACAAAATGATACCAAATGGACACTCTCCTTGCTTAATTTGTAACTCCTTTTGGAAGGAGAATTGCAAAGAGAAGTTAACATGGAGACAAAGAGCTAAATGGCCTTAAGTTCATGCTAAACTGTAGGCACTAGTTTACAAGGTGAGTTAAAAGCAACTTGGGTTTCTGCATAACAATTGTCTGATTTGCAACTTCATTTCCATCTGGCATTAATGTTAGTACCACGCATCAGGGAGAGCTTTTTGGATATGTTTGGTTTGATATAGGAAATAAGAGAGCAACAGAAAGTTGATGAGGGGAAAGTTGTTCTTAACAAGTTTTAATTTGTGAAATTCATTAAGAAGTTCCCCTCAAGTTTCTCAATCTCTCTTAATTTTTATCGAACCAAACACAGTCTCAAGTGTTGATAAGTATTAGTTCTCCCTGCATGACATAGATTTTCTTTTCTGCAATATAATCCACTTTGACCACTATTCTTTCTACCTTATTAGGTCCCTTATAATTGATGTTTTATATATGAATAATTTCTATAACCTAATAAAATAAGGAAGAACCAACTGGTTCCTTATGAATACACATGTAGTATATTAAGTGTATATAAATATTTATATTTATGTATTTGATATAACAATGTAATATGCTTATAAAATATTTAAGTAAATATAAAGAAATTCCTTTAGAAAGGCCATTCTATTCGATCTTTGTTAAAAAACCACTTTGTGTTCTATTTTCCTCAAATATGCATTATAAAAGATGAAGTTAAAAGATACAACCTATTTCTCCTGTACTCTGTCTCCATATTCATAAAAATGAAGAGAAGTAAAAGTTCTTCCCACAGCTCATTTCCAACCCACTCCATAATCTCTCAACATGTTTACTACTTTTCATTCCTTAATTTAATTTGTCTTTAAGTCTGTGTTTGGTTGCAGTGCAATTTTATTTGCACTAGTACAAATGCATGGGAGTGCAAATGTAAAAAATGCAAATTCGATCTCGTTTAATTTTGTTTTGGATTTTACTTTATTCTGTTTCATGTCTTAATTTACTTCATTTGTACTGCAACTAAACAAAATAAGCTAAAATTTAAAACAAAAATAGGTCAGAATTTACACTCAAATCATTTGCACTGCCATGGTTTTGCATCAGTGCAAATTTATTTGCATTGCAACCAAACACAGCCTAAGGCTCAGTTTGGAAGGAGGACAAATACAAATATGCAGAGTGCAAAACCTTATATTTTGTATGTATTTACACTGTACATATTTGTATTTATACTCTTTCCAAACTGAGACTAAATAACTTAATTCCTAAGGTTATAGTCTAGGGGCTACAAATCAGGTACCTATGAGGTATATCCACTGTATCAGAATTAAGTCCTCGAGTTGGACCCCCTTCAAATTTTAACCAATCCCAAGCCTACCCAAGTTTGATCAAGTTGAATCAAAACCTTTTACTTCTTTTGTCTTTATTGTATTTTTCAAACTTAATGTTATATTGTTCCTAGGGATTGAAAAGATGCTGGTAAAGCTCAAGGAGTTGAACCCTAGAAATGGGATTGAGTAGTCCAATCTCCATTGTTACCAACAGCTTACCAATAAACCACCTAGTTAGACTTTCCAAGAAAAAAAARAAGGGAACAGAGTCCTATTATAGGAAGCATGCCTAACTTTAATTTTTTTAATGGTAGTCTTATATTTATATACTCAAATTGAAAGTTTGTAAATGAAAGTGGAGTTGATATCTGCTGTAAACAAATGCTGTAGTCGAATGTTGTATTGCCTATCAGCATTGGACAGCAGTTCCCTAAATAAGCACTTGAGAAACAGAACCCTTAGAAGTCCAAACAGCCGTGAAATGCTGATAGACAATTAAATCATTTAAATGCTGTGCAAGATTCAGGGCCATGCCTTTTGTTAAACAAACAGATACCAAGTTCCAACCATCATTTTTTTTTTGAAAGTCTATATATCTAAAAAGATCAATTTATATGCCAGTAGGAAAAGTAACATAACTCCATCCCCACAATTTATTCCAACGAGAAGGCACTTTTATTTTTTAGCTCCCAATGGCAAACATATAATATTCTAATTTTCCACTGCCTTCTAAATATTTTGCAGCATATAATTTCCTATTGGCTATTAAAAAATAAGGTAAACCTTTAAAACGGTGAATCTTTTTAATTTCAATTTCGGATTAACTGGTGCACAGGGAGATAAATTGTCTGAAGAATACAACTCCTATTACAAATCCATAGGGTTTTTTCTTTGAAAGAAAAAGCCCTCAGGCTAGTTTCATTCATCACCAGAAAAGTTACAAAGATTATCGTCAAGTAAAGGAGGATAAACAAGCCAATGTTCATTTATCAAAGAATTCATCTCCCACCTATAGCTAGTAAATGAAGGAATATGGTATAGTGATTTAATTTTTCATTACTTCTTCACTGGTAGATGAAATATATATATATATTTTATTGAAAAGAACTCTGATTTTTTTTTCCTATTCAATATTTCAATTCATGATGATGAGTCTTTTTTTATTCTTTCTTTTGATACCTTCAGCATAATTCAAGAAAGTATGATCCCAGCTATTTGGGAATTGGGATAGATACACCCAAAAACAGAATATAGAAACATGTTTGCTGTGAAACACTACGGATGTGAAATACTGCAGACTAGGCTTGCATTGTTTGCAGTCTAGACTTTCAAAACATTGAAGTGTTGCAACCTATATATATGTACAGTGATCAGAGTGTGCAACACTAGAAGTGTCCTTGTTTTTCTAATGTTTTCATAATTATCCTTTTCCTTATCTTAGTAAATTAAAATTAAGGATAAAATTCTAACAGAGTTCTCCATTTAAATTGCAGATTTTGTTCCTCTTAAGGAGAATATGAATAGTTTTTCACATGTTCCTCCGGGTTTCCGGTTCCATCCAACAGATGAAGAACTTGTTGATTACTACCTTAGAAAAAAAATTGCTTCAAGGAGGATTGACCTAGATGTCATTAAAGACATCGATCTCTATAAGATAGAACCGTGGGATCTTCAAGGTAGTTTCACACTATTCATTCTTGTCATCAGAGTTGAATTGCTTCGTTTGTAATTCATAAACAATCGCAGAATAACATTGCTAACTTTGTTCATTTGAACAGAGAAATGCAAGATAGGAACAGAAGAACAAAATGAATGGTATTTTTTTAGCCATAAGGATAAGAAGTACCCAACTGGAACTCGCACTAATAGAGCCACAACAGCAGGGTTTTGGAAAGCAACAGGAAGAGACAAGGCTATTTACTCCAGGCATAATTTGATTGGCATGAGAAAGACCTTAGTCTTTTATAAAGGTCGAGCTCCAAATGGACAAAAGTCAGATTGGATTATGCATGAGTATCGTCTTGAAACAAATGAAAATGGGACACCTCAGGCAAGTATAGTTAGTGTTTTATAACAAAGGAATAACTAAAAATAAAATCATATGGAATTTATTTGATGATGTTTTGCTCAATATAATCATTTATTTCCTCCCTATTCTTCATCTGAAAACAAAAATTGAGCAAGATTGGACGAGGATATCTTGTCAAATACAAGCCTCAGGACTTGTGTTTGAAACTTAGCATTAAATTTGAGAGGATATATATAAGTTTATGAAACTTTTGCATGTGCATAATAATAGTAGCCTATATTGTCTTGATGGTAAAATGACAGATAATAAAGTTATACGTTAACATGACTATAAAATATTTTAAATTGAACAACTTAGTTTGTTCTATGAGTTCCTATGTTCTGTACATGTTGGGCATGCAATTAACAACACAAAATTTCATCCCAAACATCATTTACACATATGAGAGACAAAAACTGAAAAATTGCTCTTCTTTTTCATTACTTTTGAGTGATGGTCTGGTACCCCATGTATCCACCATCAATAATAAGTTTGCGCTGATCCAATGGAAACAATAACCATAACAATTAATTAACTTCTATCTAGGCCCTCTCCCAATCTCTACGTCTTGAGACTTGACAAGATTTTTTTTGGTTTTACTCAATATTGTAGTGTGTATTTGTACATGAACAATCCAGCAATAACAAGGGAAAAAAAATATATTTTCAGAGTATCTTGATGTCATGAACCATAGCTCCTTGCAGGTGAACCGACCGGTTGTTGTTGGTTTCTCTAACAAGGGTATACAAAGGGCTATATAAGGGTGAACAGTCCCAATAGGTTGCTTTATTATCCATTTGATGCATGAGAAATGTTTCAATATTCATTCAAGTGTAATTCTAGATGCTATGTATACAGAAGTAAAGAGCACTACTTGATATTAGATCTGGACATAGAAAACTCAAGAAAGAGAATTCTTTAATAAGAGGTTGATATTAAAGTTTATTAAAAGTTCAACAGAGATATAGCCAACTGAATCATCTTGAATCTCCATGTTCTCTTGGAAGACATCTAGCTTGAAATTTCAGCTCCAAATGATTTATTTTTTATAGGCCTGTGTGTGTGTGTGTGTGTGTGCATTAATTTGCGGAAAGGAGTATGTGTTTGTGGGAGTGTCTAAGAAACTATATATTGATGGATTTTCTAGGCTTATAGTTGAGCATTTATTAATATATATGACTCTCCGTCGTTACTTGTATAACTTGTTGTTGTAGTTATTTACAACAGCTAGTGACGATCAATGTGACTTTGATTGAATTGCACCAGGAAGAGGGGTGGGTGGTTTGTAGGGTGTTCAAGAAGCGGATAACAACAATGCGGAAAGTGAGCGAACATGAATCTCCTTGTTGGTATGACGAGCAAGTCTCATTCATGCCAGACCTCGACTCGCCAAAAAGGATTATTGCTCAGCCTCAGCCTGATCATATGCCCTTCCACCAACCTTATTCCTGCAAGCAAGAGCTCGAGTTGCAGTATCACATGCCTCATGACGCCTTTGTCCAGCTCCCTCAACTAGAGAGCCCCAAACTTCCGCATTCAGTAGCCAGTGTTCGTTGTAACTCCATGGCTGGATACGTCCTTGACATTAATAACCATGGAAGCAGTCTTCAGTCCTCCCTCACGCAAGAAGAACAGATGCAGAAAAGCCATCATCAGCACAATGTGAATAACTCCCTCTACAACAACAACAACAACAGTAATGAACAAGCAGTGGATCAAGTGACTACTGACTGGCGGGTTCTTGACAAGTTTGTTGCATCTCAACTCAGCCATGAACATGCCTCCAAGGAAACAAATTATTCCAATGCTGCCAATGTCTTTCACGTATCTGACCAAGTGAGCATTCTAGTCAGACAGCCAAACAAGCAACAACTGGCACCCGAATATGCTTCCACATCCACCTCTAGTTGCCAAATTGATCTGTGGAAGTGATATCTACGTACTGCAGTAAATCCAAAATATATACTAATTATAGGAAGTAAGATTTGAAAGAGAAAGGGAGAAAATTATGATCCAGATTCCTGTATATAATAAAATTAAAATGGTAAAACCTATAGCTGTTGGACTTCTGCCTAGCTACTCTTTGTAATAGCGGTTTAGGACTGTGTTAGGAAGGAACCCCTTCTACTCTTAATAAAGATAATATATATATTAGTAAATATGGAATGTGCAGCCGAGTATGCTGTGTCAGCTGACTCGGTATTTTGCTTTTTCTTTGCAGCATTATCTGCATGTAATTAGCTTTTTTACATAGTCCATGATCCAACAGCTATGGCCTGCTCTGTTGATGGAATCGATTTGAGCTCGATTCTTAGATGTCTCTGTATGTTTTGTCTGGAGTTAGAATAATATGTTTTGTTTTTCTTTTCTTTATTGTGTATGTATGTTTCCTGTTTCTTCTCCTTCTCTTTTACTCCGATGACGATACCTGAAAATGAGAGTTTATAAGAATTAGTGAACTTGACAATGCAACATTTAGTGCATGGTTGAATTGTTTACACTTAATTTGAACAGTTTCAACAAAATATTCAGTTGAAATGATCAATGAATTACATGCAGCTAGAGTGATTTTAACATCCAGTAATTATTAATTTCTATATATGCAACGAAATTCCTTCCATCTCCACCATCAAAAGCTAATTAAATGGAGAAGTTCAGCTCGACTAGATGATGGCTATGTATTACCAAACAGAGGGATGACGTAGTGAAAGGTGTGTTGGGGCGTCCAGAAAATTAGATGAGGCTCAATAGCAACCAAATCTGTTAGTTTTAACTAATTACTTAAATAGCAGTAAAGAAGCTGCGTGGAGAGAAGGGTTAGATGTTCCTTTCTGTTTCAGGTCATATTGTAACTTGCTGAAAAGTTTAAATTACCTCTAATATTTCAATACATATGTTTTGCACTTCAGGAAGTCTCTGCAATGACTCTACACATTTCCTACTAATAATTTTGCATTGTAATTTAATGTAGATAAAATTGCAAGAACCTGAATCCTAAATGAACTTATTGTATGCAAAAGGCCATTACTCAATGTTGGTCCCAGATATCTGGGGCTTGGACCCTAAACTTATTTCTTCTAAATGAAAAAATCATTGTAGAAGAATTAACCACGATTTGTAGCGACTTAAAATCTCAGTGTGATGATTTCACTAAAAATTGACAAACTAGGAAAAGAAAAGAGAAAGTTGAGACTACAGAAATTGTCAGAAAGATAATATTTTCCTTGTTAGGTTGGATGAATCATGGTTTCCAATAGCCTCCACCAAGCCACCAGCTACTATAATAATCAAAAGAAACGAATAAATTAATAAACAAGTACTAAACCTATAATTAGTAAGGTTCACATAAGGAATTCTTTGGTGTGCCGTAGGGATATCTTGGGCTGAAGTGTTTGAATACAATCCATTTCGTGCAAAAAATGCTAGAGGTTAGGTCGCATTCAGTCCAACCCTTCAATAACACCGGGATAGTTGGGACCAGCATTGGGCAATAGCCCTTTTCTGTTATAATCAGTAAGGTTCATAATTGTAGGTAGGACATCCTTTTTGTTTTCTGTGTGTGTGTGTGTCCCATGTTTGCTAGAGAACCTATTGCAGGAGTTGGGTGATCCAAATGGTAATTAATGGTGTACCAACTAAGAACTCTTTGCTGATTATTTTAGACAATGACAGTAATGGTGAACTAACATTAATTACTTGGAAAATAATTTCAACAAGTCAAGAATCCAAGGATTTCGTCATGTTAATTTCTTCTTTACTACTAACTAAAAATAAACGTACCTGAGCATGGAAATTTATTTACGAGAAACAACATCACCTTCTTGCAGAAGCTGAAATTTTCAATCTATATATACTTCAGAAACTAAGGCAACCCATCTCTTATTTCTGAAGCTTTCAGTGGAGACTGAGCTAGAGAGGCTATATATATGCATACATATATATAAAAGCACCAATATAATCTATAAGAACACTTAAATTCCTCTTGAAGCTAAAAATTTTCAATCTATACTTCAGCAACTAAGGCAACCAGTCTCTTATTTCTGAAGCTTTCAGTAGAGACTGAGCTAGAGAGATTATATATGCATACATATATAAAAGCACCAATCTATAAGAACACTTGAATCCCTGTTTGCAGAAGCTGAACTTTTTAATCTAGAACAGGTACTAAGGCAACCCATCTCTTAGTCCTGAAGTAGAAACTAAAATTAGAATCATATAAAAGCAACGAAGCTCTATAGTTCTTCTTGAATTCCATCAACTAATGAAGAATAGGAACACTAGGAGGTCAAAAACCGAAGGGTAGGAAACACAGAAAGAAGCAAAGAAACACTAGTATATTTCCTGAGCAGTACTAGTTATTCGATTAATCATCAAATACCTACCCAATCTATTAAAAATCCAACTTCCGTAGCTTCCCTGCAGGTTGAGATACAATGGCTCAGCACTGCAAATGACGAAGAAGAGTAACAGTGTGCCTATTCCATCGCAGGAATATGCTTCTAAAACCAACTCAGTATTAATACCAGTAGCAGAAGAAACAAATTGCTTACCCTATTTATGGACTATTTGATCAACGGTCAGTAAAATTACTACTTCATTGTTTGAGGGAGCACTCACTTACTTGGGTTTGAGTTGAAGTCAATCATGGAATTCCCTTTTAAGCAATGAAAACTTCCAGCGACAAACTCATTAGGCGTGTTCTTATGACCCCATAAGTACCCATCATCTCTAACGCTCTCTAAACTTCGAAGTCGAGAGAGAGAGAGCATCCAGTTTCCTAAGAAGGGAAGGAATCCAAAGCTAAAAGCTTGCGAAGTTTGTGCTTCTTTCTGACCAAGTATGACGTGAAGGTTCTCATTACTGTTTTGCTTTCTGTGCCTTATCTCTATTTGTACCTGGTTTGTCACTTGCAGGTATAGAAGGATAAGAGTAGGATTCTCTTTTATCCAACCAACCACAGAGGCTCGCTGCCCTGCAAAGTCAAAATTCCACCCATACGCATGTGATTTCATCAAGGACAGGTCACAGTGTGATTGAATAATTAGGGTTTTCTTAAATGTTGTTTGTAGGAGAAGATAACATGATTCGCAGGTGAAACATCCATGTGGTTTCATTATATCCTTCTTCTCCAAGTCCAACTCCCTCCCCTCAACAACAATGGAGAGAGAAAGAGAGAGAGAGAGAGCTCTACACACTCCATCTCAACTCTCAAGTACACTTTGATCAAATCTTTAATTAGCTTAGGATATTGTCCCGAGATAAAGAAATTAAAATGCCTAATCCTTATTTGTCGCAATGATCAAACTAAAAAATTTCTATCTTTGTCATGTGATGATGTGAACAACAGATTTTCCTTGAAGTTTCGACATATATCAACAGGTCTAGACCATATATATTTGCCTGCACCATAAGTTAGAGACTTGAGGGTCCATGGTGCACCACGTGGATTACATGTGGCAACTGGCAAGCATCAAAACCTAAACATAACTTTTATTAATATCTCAGTTAGGTGGGCACCACTTGAAACCAGAACTAGTCTGGTTGGTGAAAATCGGTCAATTCAGGTTGTATTAGTTTAGGTAGGTTTTTTATTTGTTCAATTGGTTTAAAAGATTTAAATTTAAATTAAACAATAATGATATTATTAAAAAAAGTAGATTAAAAAATTTTACAATATAGAATATTTTAAACTAAGAAATATGGGAATTTTTTCACTTTTCCATATTAAAAAATAAAAATTCAAAATATAAAATATTAATATGTATCTATGGTAGGGATGGGTCAAATGACTAAATCAAAACCAATTCAAACTCTCAAATTAACATAATAACTGATGAACCAAAACCAATCAAAGTTATTAAAAAACTGACCAACTCAAATCAAATTGGTTAAGATTGATCGGTTTCACGGGTTTGATGAACAGCCCTACCCTTCCTTCAACAATGTGATGATCCTATATCCAGCAAGTGGGTTTCATCATGTGGTATTATATTAATCATATCACTGACTCTGTAAGATGGTATTTTAAATATATTTACAATGTTAGGAAATAAGGTTTAGTTTCAGCTAAAAAGCAGTGCTTGAATGTTGAGTTTGTCATGAGATGATAAAGTTGACGAGATAACTGCATGCGATAGGTAAAAAAGCAAGAAAAAGAGGATAGATGGACTAAGAGGTATAATCCCTGCAAGGCAATGTTTGAGACAGCCACAAAGGGAACATCTGTTTCCTTTTACAGTGATTGATGTTTCCCTACTGGTTGTGATCTGGCCCACTTAGACTAAAGCTACTGAGATTACTTCAGACGGTGGGGAGTTTTGATTTGGGAATTGGGTCGGATCTCTCTTCTACCTTTTTTATTTATTTTCATTGAATGAACAAAATGATCCCAGGTCAGTGACACACAGCAGGACCGTGGTACGTATGGGCTAACTTCTTTCTAAAGATAACTATGGTCAATAAATTATAACCACATTCAAAGCATAATTATGGAGGTCATGAGAAGAGCCAAACCTCTTTTAAGGTAATTAAAAATAGAATTTTGTTAAAAAACATGAGAGGTCAGCCGGATTTTATTAAAATTTTAATAAATTAAACTAGTTTATTAAAAACTTCTTTCCTTGAATGATGTCAAATCCTTTGTCAATAAAGCTACTTAGATGAAATTGCAATAGTAAGATCATTATTGAACCACACGCAACAAGAAACAAAAATAGATTTTTGTTCAACTCCCGAAGTTCATACTATACTTCTAATTGGTAATAATACCACAAATTGCACCTCAAGCTATAATATTGTTTTATTGCTGCAATTTTGCATCTATGGTGGGACTTTGTACAGTACACGGTGTAATTCAAATTAATGGCACAAAAACAAATGCGTTTTTGTACTTTATAGTTAACAGCACAAGCTACATTATCTCTATAGTCCATAGGATTTTTTTTTTTTTTTTGC